TCATGAAAACTCCTAATCTGAATATCCGAGCAAATACAGTGATTTAATCGAAATGTATAGTATTTCCTAATCATTACTAAGCGTTAAAATATATTGCGAAGGAAGAGCAATAGTCCTGGAAGCCATCAAGATTTTATAGGCATGTATAATTACTTGATACTTGACACTTATATGGCCCGTCCTAACTCGTTGTGCAGGCCTCAGCACGATCTCTATTCTTCGTAGATTTGCTGGTTAAGCCATTGTGGTTCCCTGGAGTCCCGAGGTCAACCTTGCCAAAGTCTTCCCCAGCTCTTCACCACCACAGGCAGTCGCAGCCCTTGTGAATCAGAGGGAGATTTGCCACCATGAGACTTTGATACCAGGACGGTGGTGGAACCTGGTATTGGTTTACTCTTAGTTGGGCTTCCTAATGGAAGCGCAGAACTCCGTCTCAGCTTGGGAGACCCTACAAGGGAATGGATCTACATCGAAGTCCAACACCCAGGAACACCTCCCGGCCACGATAAGGTGGTAAATCGTTGGGACGATACGCATATATATATATGTATATATATATATATTCATGTATATGTATGTAGTGCTATCTGTGTCGCTTGTAAGCTCCTTGGTAACTAGAGCAAGCAAACCCCATTTGCCTTGGTTACGAACTACATTCTTAGTTTATTGAGCTCACCCAAAGGGCATGAACTCTATTATACTCTCCCAATGAGAGTACGAAAAGTAGTATGCTCTTGTAACAACTTTTGATGATATCGCTTTGCCGAGATAATCTCTTCACTGCAGTAAACCCTGATGCAGAATGGTGAATATCGGCTGGCTGTGAACTTGTTCCGAGCTGTTGAAATTTCTTTGTTTACTCTAAAAGTACTCCAACGCACAACTTAGTTCACAGCTTTGTTTAACAACATCTTCTTGGCAGCTTTCCATTCGCCGAAAATGCTGAATTTTCACAGGTAACGTGTAAAAAGTTGAGCTTAGGAAGCAGATAAAAATTGGATCGTAAGTTTTCAGTTCTCATGACCGCCTTTCTGTTAGGTAATGATCAAATAATTCACAGCTTTTATAATGAACATACATGAGGTTGTCAACAAGAAGGTTGAATCAGTTAAATACTGGCTGACGTTTTGGCGGTTTCGCCTTCTTCAAAGCCTTGAACAGCCAAATTGTCACCTAATCTATTCACTCGAACACTTTCAGAACCTCAGCAAAGAAAAACTATTACATAAACTTTTATTCACATAGGTTTTTGCTAAGTCTTCTAGTTATTTGATGTAGACGAGCCGTACAGAGTCAGAGGCATGTGCCTGACTAAGGCAAAAAAACGAACCCGAGGTATGGCACTATATCTGGCGTGATCAGAGAGCACTTCTCCGCGCTATTGGTTTCCGAATTTCTGGAATTTTTCCAAAATATTTTAAGAGTATAACCGTAGCATTGCTGAGATGTTTGCAAAACTTCGGGCCGCTGGTATCTGCAGTGGAGCCGAACATGCTAATACTTTTTTCGTGGTTAACGCCTTTAACACCACACCATGAGAGTCGCTCGTTGCGCCTGTCTCTCAATCGTGATATAGAGCTTTAGGCGCTATTAGCAAAAAATTGACGACATTATTTCAAGAGTTTTTCACCCAGATTTTTTAGATTTCTGTGTGAAGATGCTGAGTTTTACCTCAAAATTTTCTCCACTATCTCTTTGGTCCCTATGCCTACCTGGTGAAATGTTTTGCCTGACCTTACGTTGTCGAACTACCAGCTCATGCATGCGGAGCAAAGTAGCCACCCGTTTTGCCACTATATTCGTCTCCGTATGCTTCATAAGAGATTAGGTATGCCGCACCCGAAATCATGCAATTGACTTCGCTACTATTACGACAAATTGTGCAAAATTGTGTTTCGCACAAACGATCATACAACTGATTACGACCTAGCTGGAAACTGATAGTGTTCGGTGGTATTTCAACCACGGTTGCAAAATTCTCTAGAAAGGGCCTCCTTAAGCAACGTTTTATACCTGCTCTTATTTTGTCAGATAGGAAGAGCAGGGTAAACAGGAAGTACTCGTTAGAGATATCATTTGAAGGTATAGTTTTTCCTCTAAGCCTACCTCTAGCAGCCGCAGTTTCGTTACCACTGTAAGCGGCTATTTACCGAGAGAATTTAAGGAATACTCCTTTCTCCACCCTGATGGCTGTTCAAAACAAATTTCTCGCAAGCGCCCTTTATGTGGGTGAGGAGTAAGAGGAGAAATAATGAACCAGTATGTTGTTTCTGCTAGGAGCTCGTGTAGCGCAGTAGTTGGAGGTGCCCTGCAATACACATGGGATCGACTCCCGCGCTCCAGGCTCACCATACCGTCCATTCCCCGGGGTCGGCAAATTGGTACCAGACTTGTCTGGACGGATAGCAGCACTGGTTCGATACATAGGTAGGCCACCTCGAGTCACTGTAAAGGCCAGATTTGCATTCAATCACCTCCAAACGGTGCTTAATGAATATATTGAATATCGAATATATTGCGCATCACTCAGGGGTTCATCGACACCCACAACCCTTCCCTTTATTCCTCGAATGCAAAGGTGAAATGCAATGGTTTTTCTGCCAGACACCCTCTATTTCAGTGGTGTTTCTCGAAAGGATGACCACCTCGTTAGGAAAAATGAGAAACTACTAAGGAATTCAACCACAGGGATGCTGAGATATTTGCAAAACTTCGGAGCGCAGGTGTCTTCGGTGAGGAACGAATGCGCTATTACCCTTTCCGGGGCTAATGCGTTCACCACGACACCATGCAGGCTCTTCGTTTCGCCTGTCTATCACAGAGTTTTCTATCTATCACTACCATCAGCAATCACCCGTCAACGGGATTGATCTGGAGAACCCAAATCGGCGTTAAATCCATTTAAGCTGAGGCTGTAGTTGAAATCACAATGTTAACTTTTTATTTGCTGTCAACTATATTTGTTGAATGCAGCAAATAAAGACTTGACATTACTAATAAATTGTCAAAAATGTTTTTGTCGGAACAAGAAATTTTACTATCCACTACAATGTGACGCTGAAATGCTTTGGTCTTTCTGCCAAACACATTCTTCTTTAGCGTTTTTAGATGCCCAAAGTCTTTTGTTACCGTAAAGTTGCTCTTGTAGTCTACTTGAGCATTTCTTTTTGGTATAGGCCCATTCCCTCCTCAACAGAGCCGAATAAAATGACGTAACTTTTCCAACCAGCATACGCTTGTTCAAGGGCGGTGATGAGAATTTCTACTCGGCAAGTAGAGGTCATCAATGCAATGTTTAATAGTTTCAAGCTGAAGTTTTGTTGATCGTTTGTATTCCGGAGCCAGAAAAAATTGAGATTACTGTTGCATGTCATTTACCTACAAAATAAGCCCTGTGTATTCAGTGAAGGAGGATAACAGCAATAGTGTATGCGAAAAGCGTTTTGTTTTGCAACATGGCACAACAGAATGGTCACAGAGGCGATACAGTAAGATCAGCTTGATGGAATGATGAGTGCGAGTTGAGATCCCTTTAAACATCCTTCTAATCAGAATATAATTTGCGTGTCCACAAAACAATTGCCGAACATTCGTTTTTTTCCCGAATTTTTTCAGTTCATTCGATTGTATCATTAAAATACGAATTTCTATAAAGATATCGTCTACGATAAGTAACGAGACAATATCTTGAAATGTCCTCCTTCAGGTGAGAGTATCTGATCCACCAATGCAGGCGGTACACTGCGAAGATGTCCAAGAACAAGCAGTAACCGTCCACATCTGAAATGTTCTTTTGATTCTAATTAAAAATCTACTTCTAAACAATTGCTTTGTAGAATAACCACTTCCTACTAGGGTGAAAGGCTGTTTAAGAGCACGGTTCTTATTCATTTTCTGTGAATGCACAGAACGCTTTAGCAATGGACTACTTAAAATATTGAAAGAAATGAATTGGGTCTCAAAAAAGTAAATTCGGTCAAACAACTTGAAATGTGAACAGTAGGAATATATAAAGCGATCCTTTCTCTTGGCCTACATAGATTTTCGACATGAACAGAAATATTTCAAATACTGACTTTTAATTGGGTAAGAAAACTCGTCGCCGTGATTACTATAGCATTTTACTTTCTCTTTCTGTCGTCAAAAAAAATCAGTGTCGGAAGGAGATATTGAATATTGATGGAGAAGGGAAAGAGTATATGTGGATAGAGAGATAAAAGCCTACTTACGAATAACATTGTTTTTAGTACCTGCTAGATGTGGGATGATTTCTTATTGTGTGCTGGTTAAGTACTGTTAGTGATTGTTCCAGATGATCCTCAAACAAGCCATTTGATGACGATTCTGAATTCGTAATGAGTTAAGAAAGCCATGAATCTTTTCATACCTATAATTCTGATGCTTTTTTTCGTAACCAGAAACAACCACATGTGGTATGTAGCGAATCTGAATGAGTACATCATTGTGGGCCAGATGTCGTGGTTCTTTATGTTTTCGAGACAGAAAATTTACGATCTCGATATTCCTATTAGGCTATTAATAAGCCGTCCAAACGGAACGCCTGCACAAGCTTGGCTACATCTTATCGTTATGGCGACTACAAAATTATTACCATTTACTGTAATCCTAACGCTAAAGCAACTGAGGGAAATATCACGATTTGTTAACAACTTGACAATAACAACAAAAAAAGAAGATTTCGTAAGGTTACTTCGGCATAATGTTCAATGTCAAAGTGAAGAGTGATACTTACCGTTGAGAAAAAGTGCGATAGCTTTCAGACATGAAAACTCTGTTCTGTCCAACTCAAGCGATCTGACGCTGGTCAGTGCGGTTTTTACTGCTGGTTCGTAATCGGTAACACCTATTAGTAGTGAATGGGACCATTCCGCAAGGGATAAGAGGAACAGTAGTCTCCAGTTCGCATTGAGTAGATGGGACTGCAATACGGCAACAGTATGTCTTCTTATGAAGACTCTATATTTTATATAAACTTAAGTTTAGAAGCATTTAGAAACAATTACCTTCTCTGAGTCGCTTAGAGAACGAAATGATGGAACGGCTTGAGTCCAGAGAAGTGAGAGCTCGAGGATTTTACCAGGTGTGTCAGGAAACGCTTCCTTCTTCAATTGGCATTTTTAGTTTTATTTTTTCTATTACGTCATTAAATCTAAAAAAAAGTTCGACTGTTTTAACTTTTGTCTTAGTTAGACCCATTTTTAGCACATCACTATGGCGTTCAAAGACTATTGTGGCCCTGACGCGCAGCTTCTCAAGAAAGGATCTTGAGACATAGCCTTAAGGTTGCAAAGAATGTTAAATAATAGAATTAACTCCAATGTAGTCAGTTTTTATTTATTAGCTCTTTTTTTCTCTTTATACCAGGGTATGATGTGGAATATAATCACAATGGTGCTGAGATATTTGCAAAACTGCAGACCGTAGGTGTCTTCGGTGGGGATCAAACACGCTATTATCCTTTGCGGAGGCTAACGTGCTCACCACCACACCATGCTGGTCCTTCGTTTCGCCTTACTCTTAGCCTGAATAAAATAAAAAGCCTTTTTCAATGAAATTAACGTTTCGTCGACCCTATACTGGTGCTCCACCAAATTAATTATGGAATTCTAGTTTTAAAGAGGATTCTTTGCCATTCACAGACCAGAAGAATTTGCTATTATTAGACGGACCTTGAAAGGAAGAACCGCTTGCATAGTGCTGAGTATAATCAACTCGGAGATCGTGTACACGTCAGTGACGTCTCATTGCATTAAGTTAAATCCCTTATCACCCTTAGGAGGAGCTTTACATCTACATAGCAAAAAAAATCTAACGCGTTGCACCAGAGACTAGCTTAATTTTTCTAAAAATCAGTGATCATTTAAAATGGAAACCGAGAGCTGCACCCTTTCATCCTCAGCTCTCACATCACTAATTGCACTCATTGGGGACTCTTCTCGAGGTGGTAGTTCTGGTTGTGATAAAACGGCTGATACTGCTCCGGCGTATTCTCTAAAGTATCAATAGGTTTCGAAAAATAAATTTTAATTAAGAATTGAGTAGTTTTCTTGACCTTAAGAAATTCTGAGGATCCATGTCGATTGATGGACGAATAGTGGCGGTGTTACGTGGTTGTCGTTCATTTTGTACTGCTAAAACGTAACATATTCAAAACAGAAAAAAGAAGATTCGAAAGACAAACTTCTTAAATTTGACATGAATTACCTAATTGTTTTGACCCTATGCACTCTTCTTCGGTTGGCTAGAACAAGATTGCTAACACGCATTTTTGATGTTCGATGGCCAACATTTCGGCAATTTCACATTTTTCATTGCCCAGACGTATTGCTATTTAGCCTTATCTTTATTATTTAGAAAATATCTTACACTTTTAACGAAAATGTAGTGCAAAATTCAGACTTAGTCCCTTTAATAATTTTTAGCGAATGAGGCCACTTGTGTGCTTTTGACATTGGTGGTGAATGAAATTCATTCAGATTAGAAAATTGAGCATAAGAATTTGAACATTTGGGTAAGGACGAGGAGAAAATGTGAGGCTATCTTAATCCACCCAGGCCTGCCTCTGCCTCGTTTATAATACTTCGAACCATAAATGGTGAAGGATCAGTGGCGCAATATCATCAGTAGAGCGAAGACTATGTGTTTCTGAAAGCATCCATATAACAGTGTACTTTCGCAAATCCTTTCTATGTGAAGAGAGAACTAAAGGTTCTGAACTAACTGAAATTTCCACTTCGACTCACTTCAGGCGTATTTTTCGACACGGGTTTTTATATTTCTTTTCAGAGAATTTTCCATAAAAGCAAATATCCTAAGGATACTTCTCTGTTTTTTCCCATCATTGTCGAAGTTTTAAAAACGCAGTCTCGATCGTCGAGCACGAGTCGAGGCCGTAAATCTGCAAAGCTCCGAGACACAAAATTCGAAAATTGCAAAAGTGAGTCGAGAGTAGGAGTCATTTGGCACATTCAGCTGTACCAACTCTCGCCCTATTAGTCCTCAAGTCACTCGAGCGCCCACAGGTAAATCTTCCATTTGGAGTTGCCGCGTCCAACAGTAAACAAGTGAAATCTGCTAGCTCTAGTAAGTCGCTGAGCATTATATTTTTTTAGGGTTAAAGAACTATGACCATTGAGCCAGTGGTCTTGTTGCAGTACGTTTTGACATTCCGACGAATCCAGTCATTAATTGTCCTTGCCCATCGGTTCTCGTTAATACGCATAGCGTATCCATTCCTTCTTATCTTCCACACTTTGGCTTTAATAGGACGCTGTCTTTCATTTCTGATCGTAAAGTACCTCACAGTATTAGATTCTTTTTCCCAGTTACCTAATACGGAATATTCCTAGCATTGCCTCCTGGAAAGCGCGTTCGATATCGCGAACTGATCTTTTGAGCAGGTTTACGACGCTTGCGTTATGGCAGGAACAATTGTGAACTCCGAAAACAAGAGGCGAAGTCGCGTCTTATTTCTTATTCCTTCTCTCCCCAGCTCTGCAGCTTAGTTGCTTATCATGTTTGCTACCTCAACCAGATATACATAGATTAGAGCATTTGGCTATCTAGGGCTGCCCATCAAAGCAGCGTGAGAAGCAAATCCATTCTTCACAATGAACGTTTTCGTTAGATTTGCACAAAAGGCAATCTCTCCATAAGCGTTGTCAAAGTCGGCCAACATTCGTTCTACCTGGCTAACCTTTTTTGTTACAACAAAGTTTTTTTCTTACTGTCACATTTCTACATCTACTTTGCGGATCCCAGCGCTTCTTGCTTTCCATTCATTTCCTAGCATCCATTGGGTTCGGCCGCTTTAAAGTTATGCAAGCCATTCGCGAGCATCTTATGACCACCGAACACTCTCGGATGCCAGCTAGCTCGTAATGAATTGTACGACCGTCTGTGCGGAACACAATTTTGAATTGTTTGCTCTAATAGCAGCGACGGGGTTGTATAGCTAACCTCTTGTGAAACATGCGGGGACGAATATAGTAGCGAAACGGGTGGGTTACTTTGTTTCCGTATTCAAGAGGTTCCAGTTGAAGAGCATAAGGCCAAACAAAACAGTTTCCCAGATACGCACGGAGAACAAAGAGATAGCGGAGAAACTTTAGGAATAAAACTCAATGTCCTAACATAGAAATCTAAAACCTTTGCGCGAAAAACTATTGGAACTTTTTGGATAAATCGTAAAAGCCCAGAAATAATTCGAATTGTGGAGGGTCTTTTGGTCACACGTAATTCGTGCCATGCCACAAGCTTTTTTCTGACCTGAGTCAGATACAATCCCAACTAATGTAGATCCATGTTTAATTGGCCTTCTTCAAGTAACTGGAGCGGTTCATAGAAACAACACAGTGAGTGTTTAAGAGGATCTTTTACCATTAGATTAAACTTTTATGTGTTAAGTTTTGTCCGCTGAGGATGTGACAACGTTTGAATGGGCATACTGCCCGCCAGTTTTGTCTTGAAACTTCCGACAATGTCGAAGCCACCGATATGTTATCCGGTAGAGCGCTGAGCAAATTTTGTGTTAACAGCCTCTAGTCTGCTCATTACGAAAACAGCGAAACATCAGAGTAGTATTTGTGGATGATTTTTTTCCAAAGCTTTTTAGAAGTCGTAAGTGTTCCATTTTGGTGACGCGGAGCCATCATTTTATCTCGTGCTTGACGAAATTTCGCTGGGCCTTGCTAATGCTCTTCCCAACTTTTGCATCATCGGCTGTTAAGTCTGTTGATCTCTATGGAAAATCTCCTTTTATCGCCTTTCCGCAAAGCCTTGCAAGTTAAAACGTAAGTTGGGGATTACCTATGGCCTGTGCGACTCCATGTTGGCGTAGCTCATGTGCTTCTAGAAAGACGAGTCGCTTGGATACTTTTGAAATCTAAGCTGCCATAGCACTAATGTGAAAACTTTGGATTAGCACACCAATTCTTTTTCGATGATCCCGATAAGGGCATCTCTCGAAAGCCGACTAGTGATTTCAATCCCAATTCATGTATATTTTACGATTTCGTTCTTTAAATTTTCCTTCTTTCCTTTTTTACGATACTGAGTGAAAAAGTAATGGCCCGATCCAGAGTTAAATTTTAGGACAAAAGCAACATCGACTAGACGAAAATTCTCCAAGTCCATGTAGGAATTTCGACATCGTACTCGTCTTTGCTTGATGTTGGAGCGTAAACGACGAAGACTGTCACAGCCGGTATTGATCACATCCTGGTCAATCGTATACTTCCGATTCGGGTTGTTCATTTTTCAAATAAACCGATGTTGATGACGAACGCGTGATAGGGAGCTACCAATCCCACTGATTCCTCTACTGCTGCACGTTCCGAGGAATAGCTTCTTTTCCGATGATATCGTTTATTAGGTGTCGTCTTCTCATCTCGGCCAATCCGATGACGTTGGACCTTATCATTCCTGGATGCGTGATCAAGTTCTCTATTGAGTACTCACATGCAAATGAAGGTACATTGTATGTGTAGATCGTCACCTTAGTCCTTCGAGAATTAGGCAGCCTAGAATGGCCCTGAAATCTTAGCAGTTTCTCCATACTTGCTTCAAACAATACTGACATATCACGTATTCACATATCACATATATATCGAGACCAAGAGAAGAAACCCTATTTATTTTACAGGGTCAAGTTTTTGACACTCATAGGTGCGCAGCCTGCCGAGCTCTCAACAGGAGCGGGTTGTGCTTACCTGGCAGTCTCTCCCAAAGTAGACTTGGGGTCTTTTCTGAGGTTAGTTTTTTGATCTAAGCAAAACTCATTATCATCATCTGTGGAGAGAATACAGGTGGTCTCATCTCTTAAAACGAAGACGGCTAGCAGTTATTGTCAAAATAAATTTCGGTATGCACATTAGAAGCTTTAAGAATGGTAAAAATAGACGTAGAAAAAATGCTCGGGTTCTGAAGAAAGTGAAATCACGTAAACATTGGCAAACCAACAATAAAAATACGTGGAATAAAACTAGTGTCAATTAATTATAATCAAAATATAAGTTTACTATTAAGAAGAGTTCGAGAAACTGAAAATTAGGCCACTCACCGTCCCTTTCCGTGAAGCTCGAAATTATTCTTAAAAAAGATCTTTTAACACTATGGTTTTTCCCAACTATTTAACGCCTCATCATAGCGGCAGCATTCCTGGGGCAGGGCTGCGATGCACAGCAGGGTTTCACACCTCATCCGGGTCTCTCAGGCTGAAAAGGTGTGCTAATTTCCATCCGAAACCCCAGCAAGGAGTAAACAAGTACCAGAGTCCACCACCACTCTGGTGTTAAACTAGTTGCATGTTGGGAAACCTCTCTCTGATCCACAAGGGCGGCGACTTCCATTGATTGCGACGACCTGAGGAAGGCTTCGCCTAGGATGGCCTCACGACTCCAGGAAACAGCGATGGCTAGACCAGAAAATCTCCCAAGTCATGCTGAGACAGCAAAATTGGTAAAGGTAGGCCATCCACGTATCCAAATAAGTAATACCATGCTTTCAAATTCCTCGCACATTTAGGCGACAAATTTCACAAAGTTTCAGAGATCTACAACATTTTCTCAAAGTCTTTGTGACATTTTCGGGCCTGTCGGAGGCAAAAAATCTCAGATTCCTATTCGGCATTCTGGTCTTATTTCTTGCATATTGAATCGGTCATTCCTGTGTAATACTAACCGTCCTTATTCATTCCTTTGCTGAGACACTTTTTCAGTCGACACGCCTGACATTGATTCCTGTGGGCTTTGTCCACAATGCAGCTTCCAGTGCCAGCTTGACATCTATAAGCTATTCTTGAGTGTGATATCAAATAATTAAAAGTAGCTAGAGAAAGAACAGTTGTTGCTGTAGTATATGACAAAAAAATCCATTATTGTATTTTTAAATTCTAGATGATCTTACCGGTATATAAGTCGGCGACGAACAGATCGTTTAAAAAAACCCGAACAGCCGTTACATGCGAGAATTCCTTAAAAATTGCTTCGTTTTTTAATATGCCTTCACCCTTTATAAAATAATTGAGTAGTAAACTTAGATATAAGTGCTTCTCGATGTTTGCCATAGACTCGTTTTAATTTAGTTTATTAGAAAACCAGATTTAGTTACTATATTGACGGACGCGTGTGGTGCATTTGTAGGAGTTATCCTGCAAAACAAAGTACCTCGATCCAGCGTGTAAGCCTCACCAAGCCTTCTATCATTCCGGGTTCGCTAAATTGGTAAGAGACCCTTCTGCGAGGATAACAGCACTGAGTTGCTACATCGGTATGCCACCAAGAGTTACTTTGCAGGATAGATATACATTCATTCACTTCTAAGAATGCTTGATGAAGTGACTGTGATGAAGGAAAGTGCATGGCGCATCTTACTGTGATTGATCAACGCCGAAAGCTCTATCCTTTTACCCTTTATGTCGACAATCGTTATGAAGAAGAATGCTCTACGTTCTTCTTAGTTCGCAAATTCTTTTTTGCATTATGACAAATGTTGCGATCTGAGGAAGTTAGTGCGGCGTGTACTTCGCAGTTTTCTTGTTTAGGCTATGCAAAAGCGCACGGAATAAAGGGTAATGCGAATTCATTATGGCTTGGGTACACGTGCGGCGGAGTATATTGTTTTAGCTCAACTCATGCAACATTCCAGAGAGCTTCGAGATTTAAAGTAAATCGTAATTAGAGAGAACTCAGGGTTTTGTTCTGATATCTTTTTCTTCAAGGTAGCGGCTAGACTGAATGCTCTATAAAGCCTTTACACAGCCAATCGAGCTACTCTTAAAATTACTTGCATCTGAACAAAAAAAGGAGTGCCCCAGTTTGTGACTTCGCTAGATCTGTTCTTATCTGGTCTTCGAGCCGGGATTTGAAAAACTAGCCGTGTTGTACTCTTAGCGCAGCCAGTTAAGGTTCTAGTTAGAATCCCCAATAAGGTACTACTGGTGTGAGTGAAGCAGCAGAGAATCGTAAATTTCGGCTCACAAGAAGGGTTCATGCTAAGAAAGAGTATGGGAATGCTCTACAATACCTCGCATTTTGCAGACCCCGTACGAAAACCACTCCCTCATGCTTCGGTAACGGTCAGCGACAACATGAACGAGGTCAACTGGTTTTCCAATTTTCCAATTCCAATGTTTATCACACCATCTTCACTTGTGCATTGTAGTGCGGAGCAGATTCTTGTGGAGCAAAACGTCTTCAATTTTTCTATCGCAAATTTGGATTCTATTTTAGCTTTCGTGATACGCCTACGACTTTTGGTAATTACAGCACACCCACATTTCACCACGCACTGCAGCATCAACCAGTTAAACGGGTATGAATGCGTTTGTAGGCGAAAAAATTGACTACAAATTGAGAGTGACTTAAACTCCCCTAACACACGGGCACTGTGTCAGGGATAAATTATTGTGGCTGCGAACAGTTTTCACCTGTAATATCAAAATTCTGTATTTCTGAACACGGAAACCTCGACATACCGTAGTGCTTTCCGCTGCTTACGTCACCACACACAGCACAGCTTAGCGTCGGTGACGACGCCACTGGTGGCGAATCGTGTGGCAAGGTCGTGTATGAGGAGACAGAGATCGTGGTGGGATCGAATGGCGAACTATTAATTGCACTGCAACGTCTCAGATAGTGAGAGCACTTTAAAGTGAGATCGTCCCAAGCAAAATTTTTTTACAAATGAAGAGATTCCCATGCTAACATAAGCTTTTAAAAAAAATTCTATAGACGAAGAGACATCTCATATGAATATAAGCTTCTTTATACCATAAAGACATGATATAAAAGATTTTTCTTTATGTCAATCTTTTTTTAAAATTGTTCTGTCTTTCTCGCATGTATTCTTTTCATGAAAAATATTTATCGGGCTTCAAACTTAGTGTTCAATCATCAATCAAATTATTAGAACAACAACGTAATAAAAAAGACACCTGCAATGTGAAGCTCTTTGGAAATCTTAAAGTTCCTTTGTTAAATCGCTTTCTACTGTTTGAAGACTAGAAAAAATGTCAAACGAAAACTCTGCACACTTAATGAGTTTCATAACAATAGTCAGCTTCATCCCAAATAACTTAAGACCTTAATAACGAACTATTTCCAAATATGCTCATATCTGGGCCTAAGAACCTTCAAATTACTAAAATTTGGCATTAATACCCATCTAAAGTATTTCGATACCTATAATTGTCATGCGAATGTTTGTCGCTATACCTGGTTTGCGCTACGCGGTGATTCATCGATAAGGCAACAGCCGCAGCAATGTGAGGAGGAATCAAGCCGCCTGAATTTCATGTAGTCGGTGTTTGTGAAGAGAAAATCTTTTTAAGCATGGAAGAAGAAAAATTAACATTTTTGTAAAACTGCCAGATATTCTTTACCTGAGCTCATAAGCTGGTTGGGAAACAAGACCGGTCCATGGAACATCGACCGCAATCCCATAAGACGATCTTCTATGGAGATTTCAGATTTCACATCATCTTCAACACACCTATTAGGTTCTCGCAAGCCATATGATAACATAGCACAAAGATTAACTCAGGAATATGAAAATCATTGCAGTTGAAGTTCATTTTTAGCTCATCGGATATCTTGTGTTTGGGAAAAATCAACGTCTTTGGCACATTTTCTTTTTTGAATGTTTTTAGTTAGCTTTAGTCATCCAAACGCTAATATTCTGGTTTACATTAGGTTAAAAACATCAATATTAAAAGTAAATAAAGACTTAAAATCCATCATCAGTGATTTTGTGGAATCTTTAAAACTCACTGGAAGAATTTGGAATTCAGTTTTACTACATTTAACAAAGGACACGTCTGTATATAACATTTGGTTGTGGATGAAACAAATATTAAACAAGTTTTTCGAAGGGTAAGCTTGAGGATTAGGAAGAAGCAGCCCTTATATAAATTTTAAATGCGCAACAGAGTGAGGAACACTAGTGAAGTGAAAGTAATGAAATCGAAACTAAGAGTGGAAGGAAAACGATGCTTGAAAACAGCTTCTGTATAGTTCCCTTAACCTATGGAGAATCATAAACTCCCATTATGTCATAAAGAAAAACTAGTTAATCATACGGCATCTTCAATAAGACGATAGATTTATGGAAAATTACAGGAGTGGTACCCAAGATTAAATACTATGCACTCTAACATAGCAATGGGAAATGACGACGGGTGAGCAACAGTGGTTTGTGCGGTGATCCTAGCAGTAATTTCCGAGGAGTCAGAATCACCCAATTAGCCTGGCGTTGACAAAATCGACGAGGATTAGATGGTGTTTGACGCATGTGTGTCTGCTTTTGACAACTCTGCATTCCAAAACTTAAAAAATTCAGACGCTGCACTCATTACTTACACATTAAATATCGAAATTAGTTCGAGTTATATTTTAAAAGTGCCAATTATTATAAGTTTTAAAGCAATGGCTTAGCGATGGAATTATCTTAACACTTACCGTTCTGTGATAAATTAGACGCAGAAAAGTTTAATGGTTCGTCTTCATCATTCATTTCACGGAAAGGCAAAATAGATCGCTAGTATGAAAAGACTGAAACAATAAGTAGAATAGAGTGGAGAGAATTATTATTACGTTATGACTGATTAACCACACGGCAAAAAACAAACGAAGATTGAAATAGAAGTTCTATCCCTACAAAATCACGCTTGGTTTCTTGTTGTTAGGGAAAATCTTAATTCTTCTAAACCAAACCTTGCCATCGACAAGAACTTGGATATCTATATGATTGTCATTGGCATAGTCAAAGTCGGTAAGTTCAATTTCATGGGAGCTACAAATCACTTGGACACTTGAGCAAGGCCGTTCGATGTGCGGGCAGATGTCATGTCTGCAGTCATCTACCGTATCGCTAGGTTTGGCAACAATTTCCCGCCCACAGCAGCAATTGAGCCAATCAGGAGGCACGTCAACAATTACGAGTCGAAAACCGCGACTCTTCACGAAGCTAATGCTAAATGCGATCGGTGCTCTATAATCTGTAATAGACCATTATGTTCATACTACAAAAATTACTTCTCATGGAACTGATTCATGGCGAATTCATAAATGAGCGCGTACTTACGTTGATTCGCTACTTGACTTCCATTGGTTTTCCATCTTTTCTACTGATTATTTATCTTTTGATCAGTTTCCGAACTACATGGAGAAAAACGATATTTCACACATTGAAAGGGTTTTTCCTATATCTCATAGGGTCATCAGAAATTCAAAACACTAAACATCACATAGGGATGACTTTAAGAACTGTGAGGAATAATCTTGCCAATTCCTAACTTTGTAGATGCATTAAGGCAAATTTTAAAAGCAAAACTTCATCAGAGTAAGCTTGAATCAACCAAATTCTGGAAATGACACATGGATCTCGTATCCAGAAGCGAGCCAGCGTAATTGAAAGAGCTATGTTAAATGATTAAAGGCCAGGCGTATTTCGTCCATCATTCCTTTGTTTAAAACGCTGAAGAATAAAAGCAGTGTAAAGCAGTTATTACAAAAATTTCTAAAAAATTTCTACTATACTAACTAATGGAACGACCTTCTATTTAATTGCAAAAAAAAACATCTATGCGCTACTGGGCTATACAGAGCCGGTTTATGAGCTGAAATCTATGTGTATGGAAACATCGTCATCGTACGCAACCATAACAGCAAAAAAAGACGATGAAAATCAAATCTGATATGAATTCTAATCCAGTCAAACGCTCTCAGAAGCTCAGAAGAGAAAATTTGACACATTGATTTTCAATTACATAGTAAATAGCTTCATCTAAACATCAACCGTTTTGTTTTTTTCCAATGCTTCCAGTTATTAAACGGAAGACAGGCCGTACACAGTTTATATGAGTCACTCACGTACCTGACTCTCATCAGAAAACATCATTCTGAGGTATAGCGCGAGGTCATGAGTGATCACATCATCGCGATCCAACTAGGTGGAAAGCTTGATGTTCAGTAGAACACTCCACTAGGCGCGCATGCAACGCAAGGGACGACGGAAGAAATTTTGAAGTAAAAGTCGGTTTCTTTGCACACGAATCTATAACATCTGCGTTAAAAACTTTTGAAGCATTTTGGTTAAATACCAAAAGGCCAATGCTGAATCAAAAGCAGTAGTGTTTTAAGATCACGCGTGACCTCGTGCAATACCTTAGGCTAATTTGTTACCTGAGTCAGCAATATTCCCCACTCATGTCTCCGTGCGACTGGTCTCCTTCTAAACAACTAGAAAACTTGGAAAGAACAAAGCGGTGAGTTTTGTTCGTATTTTTGTTGAGCAAACGCGAGGTGTTATTATTCTTTGTTCACGATTAAGCTGACGTTTCGGCGGATTTCGCCTTCCTCAGAGCCGCTTCCTATGAGCTTTCCACTAAGTAAGTGAGTTTTGTGTAAGGCTGTTTACTATGCAAATAAAAATTTATCACTTAAGTCCTTTTTACTGGAGTTATGAAAGCACTTGACTGAGTTGATTACGAGCAAATTTGACCCATCCAGGGTCTTAAGAAGGCGGAGATCATTTACTATCCTACTCAAAAAATCTTGTTGTTAACAACCTTGAGTCTGCTCATCAAAAAACAGTGAATTATTTTGTCAGTGCTGAGATTAACGGAAACTGATCTTGAGAAATGATTATGACATTGTTTTTAATAAAATCACACGGCAATGAGCTGCGATGAAATTTTCGAGAGAAAGAAAGTGACACTACAATGAATGATCGTGCCTGCTCTGTTCACGGATAACTGTTCCATAAAACACATCGTCATTTGTTGGATCACCCAGTAGTGTTCTTGCAGAAATGTGAAAGCCGGTGAATTTTGTGCGCCGCCAAAATTGTGGCAACCTTAGTGATTTGTCTATGAATGGAGGAATCTTATAAAGGCATTAAATGAGCAGACAATAACATTAGAGCCAAAAGATAGCAAACAGCCCAGAAATGAGTGGTGTGACTTTGTTCTGTATATGATCCTTATTCTCTAAAAAAATCACTTATTTTCGTAGAATTACAAGTGGGCCGCTGATCACCACACTTACTTGAGCAACGAACTGTATTCGAATGCTTGTGGAGAATAAAGACTCGCATTAGCATAGTACTCCATCGATTGATTTAAAAGATTTGCAAGAACTTATATAAGAAACACTAGTTTTGACAGATACGAAAAGCGAGACTTGCGCACTTGTTTCTTATTCTATTTGATGTCAAGTTTGCCATGGTGCAACCAAAATATCACATTGCCGTTTACTTTGCGTTTATCACTAAATGAACGAATAGATAACCTAATCAATGAGTAATTTAAGACCATCAAGTGATTACAAAGTTTTCTTACGATCAGGTCAGTGTGCCTAGCACTTCCGAGAGCAGAAGGTCCACATCTTTTTCTCATCTCATTCAAAATATTTCATTATTGAACAGAGCTTCAGTTATTCATATAAACTACTAATCGGCCTGTAGAAGCTAATCAATTGTCGTCAACCATCTGTTAGTGAATTTCCATTGTCTGAGTGCTCGTTGACAATAACAGTGGCAAAAGTGTAGCATTGAGGCGACACCGCTGATGGCTGCGCAGTTGGAAAGCAATTGCATTCAACGGCAGAGCCGGCCGCCAGGGCTCTTGCCATAATGTCGTTGTGTGGCGGCGTAACGACACGTCCTGATCGCTTCCTCCTCGCGGGACCTACGTTCCCCAGGGAGCGTGGGTACGGTAGTGCAGCATGCTAGCAATCGTTTGTCCTACTGCGTGCAACAGTTAAACAAAAATCTCTAAATATGTTTGCACATAGCTCTAGATGTATAGATGTTCTATGAATGGATTTAACGCTGAAAATTGGAAAATACTTTTTTATCCTGTTCAAGAATCTGGTAGGAATTGTCACAAAAGGTTTTTAACTATTTCGTTTATAAGATTTAACTATAGGTTTAGTTTATTCACGATGCTATACTCCAACAATAGGTTTCTACTACTGGACATTTACTATTTTCGCGGCCGCATTGGCAACAAATGTCCGGCCTAGATCTTTTGCGAGATGATGGGGTCAATGGCATCTGAATAGTCCTTCAGCAAGCAGTCATACGTAAATGAAGCAAATGGAAGACCAAGATTAGAAGTTACCTCACTACCTGATAGCTTTTGCTTCCAGAGTAAGTTCGAAAACTCAAGCCATGTAAGGCTTTTTCTCCTAGAGAATTGAACAGAGCTAGATTTATAAGACTGGTGCGGGTTTGTCAATTCTTCCGATCTCCAAACAATGGTTTCGACACATTTTACTTCTAATATTTACATATTTGCAGTTCATTCACTGCCCCAAAATGTAAATTTACCACAACTTCGAGAACAATTCCTGCAAAGTGTTTAAAGGTCACGAAAATCTATGACATAAATGCTCTTTCTTTCTCCATCTTACATTTAACCCTTCTATGTGGAAAAAAATAGCAAAAAGAAAGGTAAGAAAAGAGGTTTGACTTGTGCTTGTGATTCGAATGTTTATTGAGTGATTAAATGATACCGTAGGCT